GGGGGGGGGGGGGCTGGAAGATACGCCCAGGCTTTCAAGCTGAACAATATGGCATAAAACTTACTTTTCTACGGAGCAAGCCGCCGAGCAGTTTGATTGATTGATACGCAACTGCAAATGCTTACCGTGTATCCACGAGTGGTAATTATCCCAGACCAGCTTTACAACCCCACGCTCTGTGGTACAGAATCGATCGCAGTCTGTGTCTAACTTTCCAGACTTGACCGGCTTCGAGGAAGCCGCGCATGGGTGTGCCCCCTTTGTGGTCTTCAAAGTTTTTTTCGACAGTTCCATGCTGCTTTCCATCGATTCCTCTGCGCTGTCGTGTGCCGTGAAGGTCACGTCGAAATGTATATCCGCCGCATGCCCACCATTCCCCTTTGTACACCTGAACTCCCAATGGACTTCGTCCTCCGGCTGGACCTCGAGCTCGACGGTGTGCTTCTTTCCCGCGCCCACAGAGATGTTTTGAGTGAGCGGTACAATCTTTCCCACTTCTCGTATGTCTTGGCACTCACCATCGACGCCAGGAATGCAGCCACCAGAACATTTACACGAGCCTCCCAAAATCGATGGTATTTTGTCTTCATCAATCACCTTTTTAAGCACTTCCAATGATTGAGACTTGCTGCAGAATGACAATTTCTGCTGGGTGTTCTTGTCAAGGGATCCCTTTACTAAGCCATAGACGTGCATCACGATACCAGGACAGTTAACCACAAAGAGTCGATGCAGAACCTCTGGGAAGTACTTCTGGTCCATCTGTAGAATCGCACGCACCACATCAAGAATTTGAGAGCTTATCATTCCCAGATGAAGCCCTTCCGCGTCAAAAACAACTGTTGTACCAAGGATACGTCGTCCACCTTTCGCCACATTTAGCACATCAGCGTATTGCACCAGTCTTTCTTGTACAAGATTCATGTAGAGGTGGTATGCCGTGATTGTATCCTTCGCCTGTTTTCCTACTGGTGTCACCAAGCTGGCGGAACTCATCAACTCCTTAACTCGTGCACGGCCAGAGAAGTCATATAGGACAGGATGCCCCTCCTTATCCCAGTAATGATATCCCGCGGAGTAGTAGGGGGCAATGGCACGGTAGCACAACTCGGCCTCCTCAGGCTTTCCTGTGTAGGATAACTCCAAGGTGCGGCAGAGATCTTCTTCATCGTAGCCACGGAGAGGGAAAACACAAGGGAACAAATCCATTGTGTCAGCGTTCTTTTCTTCACGAAATGTCATAGTCGTCGTGATCATCTCCATTGCGTTATCTGCGTTCCAGCCGCGGGCCTTAAGATACTTGTACGCGAGAATACGCATATCTTCCTCGGTCCGGCATCTCATGAACTGCGGGGGATACTTACCGCCGTAGTGTGTGCTGACAGTGCTAAGGAGCTTAGTAACGGCGTCATTTTGGGCATCAGTCAACGTATCCATCTCGGGGATAGAAACGGAGACACGGTCGGCTGTTGTCATTGTCGCCAAAGGTCCACCTGCACGTCCCGAAACT